TGGGACTGGGGGTGTGGCGATGGCTTCCTCTTAGGTCTCTGGAGGGGAGGAACTATCCCCCAAGACCAGCCTTTAGCCATCCTCAAGCACCTGTGAGCTGCCTGAACGTGGCCACTTCTACCAAACTTCATCAGGAAACTGGTTTCCTGCCTGCGGTTTCTAGGTTTCCCGCCTTGCTCCTCTCTACCTCCAGCTGGGGCTGACGGTGAGAGGATTCCATTCACTGGCCAACAATTCATAGGTTCTCAGTTGATGGAGGTGCTCTGTGGCAGGGTGGGTCGTGGACAGCGTCCAACACAGACTGCAGCCTTTCTCTGTCACAGAGAGAGCAGAGGGCACAGTGTGGCCCCTCTCAGGCTCCATACTAGCCTGGAGAGATGCCCAGCTCCACTGCAGGCCTTGAAACTGGTTTGAATCCCCCCTCTGAGTCAAACAATGCTTGACTGACAGGCCTTTAAAACAGGCCCTCCTCCCACGGGGCTGCCTCAGGAATCAGGAGCTCAGGTCCAGCTGCGTTAAGCTTTAGCCTCCGGAGCCCTCATTATGGAAAGGCCGGAGGGAGGCTGATGGGCAAGGAGCCTCTTATTGTGGTGAGTTGTGAGCAAGCATTTGTAGTCTGAGGAATGGATATATGTGTGAGAGGGAGCAGGGGGTGTCACAACAAGCTCTTCTTAGTGTTCCCCACTTCCCATGGAGGCTCACCCAGAAAACGCAGGTGGCTGCTATAATAGGGCAAGATGGAAAGTGGCAAGAGGACCTCAGGCCACGCTCTAGGGGTGGCAGTGGAGGCTAGGACCAGGCCCCCAAGGAGACCAGGACATGCCAGGCTGGATGACAGGTCAGCAGGATTATGCCAGTTCTCAGAGGTTTCTCTTCAGACAGAGAGGCTGGGGGGCTGGGAGACCGGAGGAACACGTTTCCCTTCCTTCATCACCACCCCTTCTCCCTCTCAGAGTGGTCAGCCTGGTCAGGGATGGGGCCCGCTCACCTGTCCCCCCTGCCTTCATTGTGGATTGGCCCAGAGGGGCCCTTACTCAGTAGTGGCTAAAGGTGAACCTCAGGTGCACCATCAGGCGGGGCCATGGGAGCTGAGAGCGTGGAGGGGGTGATGCTGGCAATCTTTTCCCAGCCGCCAACCCAGCCTCAGCACAGAGCTATTATATGGCCACAAATCACAAAGAAACAGTTGTGTCAGCACCTTGCAAGCCTAATGGAATACAAGGGAGGCCCAGGGGCCATAAAAAATTCAATCAGCGTGGCTAACCTGGTGCCGAGCCTGTCTGGGTACAGTGAGGCTGGTGAAGTAGAGGTGGGGAGGACAGCAGGTGGGGGGTCTCCAGAGTTCATCAGGCACCTCTACCATCCCTCCCAGCTGGGAGGCCCTCTAGCAAGAAGGGATTGGTTTCTTCCTCCAGTGTGGGGACAGAGCAATGGGCCCCCGAGGAGGACCGACTTCATGTGGGCAACAGGAAGTTGTCCTGAGGGTAGGTCAAGGTCAGCTCAACCCACCCTGAAGGAGTCAAAGTCAAGTCTCTGAAGCTGGCCCCAAAGCCCCTCTCTGCTTGTACCTGGAGGGAGGGAAGAAGGAACCACACTGACTTGGAGGAAGTGGCCTTGGGGTTCATGGGAGGAGCAGAAAAGGGGAGAGGACTAAGCTGTGCTGTTCTGGACAGTGACATGGAGGCTAAAACAGGCTTATGGATGACACAGATGCCACTTACTAGGTATGGCTTAACCTCTCTGAGCCTTAATTTTCTATTCAGAAAAACGGGGACACTAACCAGATCCACTTTAGAGAGTTGTTGCAGGGACTAATTCATTGTCATTGAGTTGGACTTTTAGCAGCCCTAATAGGGACGGGCAAAACTGTCCCATAAGGTTTCCAAGGCTATAATCTTTTTTTTTTTTTTT